TATCTATGCACACGACTGTACGATCAAACGGACGACCATTTACCTCTGGCGGACACTGGACCCGTTCATCGCGAACCAAGCCGGATGACGATCGTTTCGTTCGTTTAAGAGGTCCGTTACTGGACGCTGCAATTGCAGTCGATTTTCTTCTTATCCTTTCGCAGACGGACGACGTACTTGTACAGGAGATCTCACAAGTGGTGGCACAAAATTTATAGCTCAATTCAGATCAGATAACTTGCTGGTACCATTATATTTTGGACATTTAAGTGTTTGATTAATTTCAAGTTTATTTAGTTGTTAGATTAATGTCATGGAGACTCTTTGGAGGTTTATTTGAGTTTGAAGACTATTGTTCAGTTATTTTAAGTTTACTTAATTGCTGAGTTAACATCAAGGAGGATTCTTGAAGATTACTGATTGGGAATATGAATGTGAACAAAGTAATTCATATGGATTTATGTTGTGTTTAATGAGTCATTTGAATGTGAAGAACCGAGAAGTAATATAGATCATGTATCATTCAGAAATAGTAGAGAAATAATGAATAATGATTATATTGCACCGTGTGAATCTGATAATAATTTCTGACCCTAACTTCTGACCCAACTTCTGACCCAACTTCTACCCTAACTTCCGTGGAAAAACGAAATTTTCGCAAACGTACAAATGTGTAAGCACTCAACGAACATCTCGGACTAGCCAAGAAAATTAATGATCGTGTGTTTAATATCGTTAGTGCATATCCTGCCACATATGTTTGATGGTTAACCACAGTGGTGCAAGCACGCGATTAACAGAAAGTTCTGGGTATCGACATCGATCAAAGGATTAACGTTGCCAGGTTTCGTCGAAGGCATCCCGGTTCCCTTCGGTGTTTTTGAACTGCAAATTACAACGACATTAAACGCGCAATATCTAGCACGGAACTTCCGACGATGAGCTTGAACAGGCAACGATGGAACGCGGGAATTATAACTATAATGAGAGCGCCGGTAATACGATTGGACCACGCGGTGAGATAATCGTATTTTATTACGCGAACCACCACCCAACGGCACCGATGTTCACCGAAGGAAGTGCCTTGATATTCGTTATTAGCGATCGTTAAAATTAATCCGGCTTAAGGGACTGCTAAGAGGATCGGGACAAGCGGCAATTTTCTTTGGTGCTACTCTTTTTTCTTCTTCCCTTTAACGAGCAAACTTCGAGGGGGGATAAAAAGATTCCTGAAATTGCAACGGAACTACCCTTGATCCCAACCAATAACAGTTAAACTTTTCCGTTTTAATCCTTTCAATTTTTATTTATTTTTTAAGCAATGTTTATTGGAGGATTGTTATCGTAGAACAAACGGCGATATAGAGAATGTCATAGCACAACATAATTTTGTTAAAAGGATACTTAAAAGGATTCTAAAATGAATTAGGAAATGTTGAGGATGAACTTGAAGTGAAAAGTTGATGTTCGTAAATTAACAGAAGATTAAAGAAATTTCAATGTGGTAATATAACTGAATGAACCATAGAACGGTCAATTAACGAAGGGAATGAAAAAGCTGGGGAAAGGAACGTGATTGCTTCTTGCACCTCAGTAATTACCGACCGATGATAAACCGAGTACACGCAATAACTTTGCTTCATTGTATCTTGTAATCACTTAATTCTCTCTCTTTATTGATTCTCTTTTTGCCGGTTTCTCTTTTAGTCCTATCGCTGGTAGAATCAGTCGAGTAGAACCGTTTTCCCCGAGTAACTCAATCTAGCTTTCAATCTCGGCTGCGAACAGTTTGCGGGCAATCAACCATCGCTCTAACTTTGCTTTAATCTCTTGGCTTAGAATATCAAGGTACTCCAAACGTTATCGTGCAGTAGCTTACTATTTCACTATTACTGTTTCGGGATTTACTGTTCAACATGAAAATTTGGAACTGGAGTAATGACGGTTGTTGGTTTATCGGGGATTTCATATGCGGTGGGATGGTTTATAGTTTTGCTAATTGGGGGTGGTTTTTGGAGTTTTGGGGATTTGAGGAGTTGGAGATTTGGGGATATGAGGATTTAGGTATTAATTTAGGGGTTTGAAAATTTGGGGAGATGAAAAATTAGGGATTGGAGGATTTTGGAAGGTGAAAATTTAGGGATTTGAGGATTTAAGTATTTGAGAATTTGGAGATTCCATGTGTAGTATCTCCATGCGTAGTAATCTCATGCGCAGTAATTCCATGCGTGGTAATCTCACGCGCAGTAATTCCATGCGTGGTAATCTCACGCGTAGTAGTTCCATGCGTCGTAACTCCACGCGTAGTAATTCCATGCGTAGTAATTCCATGCGTGGTAATCTCACGCGTAGTAGTTCCATGCGTCGTAACTCCACGCGTAGTAATTCCATGCGTAGTAGTTCCTTGCGTGGTAATCTCACGCGCAGTAATTCCATGCGCGGTAATCCCACGCGTAGTAGTTCCATGTGTCGTAACTCCACGCGTAGTAATTCCATGCGTGGTAATCTCACGCGTAGTAGTTTCATGCGTCGTAACTCCACGCGTAGTAATCTCACGCGCAGTAATTCCATGCGTGGTAATCTCACGCGTAGTAATTCCATGCGTCGTAACTCCACGCGTAGTAATTCCATGCGTAGTAATTCCATGCGTGGTAATCTCACGCGTAGTAGTTTCATGCGTAGTAAATCCACGCGTAGTAATTCCATGCGTGGTAATCTCACGCGTAGTAGTTCCATGCGTAGTAAATCCACGCGCGCGCAGTAATTCCATGCGTGGTAATCTCACGCGTAGTAGTTCCATGTGTCGTAACTCCACGCGTAGTAACTCCATGCGTGGTAATTTCACGCGCAGTAATTCTATGCGTGGTAATTTAACGCGTAGATTTGAGAATTTGGGAATTTGAGAACTTGGGGATTTGACGATTTGGAATTTAAGAGATTGAGGATTTGAGAATTCGGGAATTTGAGAATTTGAGGGTTTAAGCATTTGAAACCTTGAGAATTTGGATATTTGGGTATTTGGAAATTTATGTATTTCAGTATTTAGGAATACGGTAACGTAAGAACTTTGTAATTTTTAAATTTGAAAGTTTCTAAATTTTACAGAAGACTAATCCTTCACCCAACATCCCTCTACCAGCGAAAAGAATTCAATATCTTCCTCTAACTTTATAATATAATCCCTAAGTAAATCCCCACTTTAGGTGTTCTCTTGGTTTCCTCGCTTAATCCACCTAATAATGATTAACAATAACGAAAAATAACTGACAGCAACTAACAATAACCTAATCTAACCAACTACAATTAAAATAGTTACATATTTTCCCACCAAAGTAACTCTTGTCGCGAATAAAGAAATAAAGCCATAAATAAACCATTATCGAGATCACCGTTCGCGCACCACGTGCTGATCCGCTATTCACCTAACGTTCCGGTTTAACACGCATCGAAACAGGAGCTGAATCTGGAATTTGCAGCCAAGAGAGACAGTGACGAAAGAATGTAGTGATCGAATGCTTGGCGAGTAACATCGAATTCCCAGATTCCGATCTGGAAGGGTGATTGTACTCTGAAACGCAAGTCGACGCAAGTAAAACCGCACGCGTTAACCGACAAGTATTGTGGCGCAGCCATTGTTCCCTGCAGGTTATTGTTGCATTATCCCCGGCATTATCGAGCCTTATTACGAGGCGAGCTTAAAGTCAGCCATTCAGACCGCGAGGATGAATCCAACGATGATCGCGGCGATTTCGTAATCTGCTTGAACGTTTTGTCGAGCGTTATGGCTTCGAAGAAACGAGCAAACTTACAACTTCGACTTCCTCGATATTACTCTCGAACACTTTCGTCGCTTTTTTACCTTGTAACTCGATTGCTTTTCACGGTGTTGTTTATTGTTTATGCAAAATTCTCGGACGAGAGAAGAAAAAGGAAATGATGAAAAATGACGCTTCACAGCGGTGGCAATAGCAGGGTACGAGATCGAGTTTCTTGCTTATTTTTAATCTCGTCAACATTCTTGTCGATGCTGTTACTCAACAAGGCGACGAAGTTTTTTGCATTAAATTGGCAAGGGCTACCGATCGATTTACCCTCGTCTTCCTTTTGCTTCCCCGGCGCTGTTCCTCTTTTTTATCGTGCGCGACTTACAACGCGAACTTCATTAGCATTTTATGGGATGTATCATGGGTCACTATGTTCGACCGCCTGTTTTACAACGTCCACCTCGAGGGGAAAAGAGCGAATGCTTGTATTCACGATTTAAATGTCGGGTTAAAATTGCCTCATTCATTTTTGCGACACCTTGAAGGTTCTTAAGAGAGCTAAATGTGGTTATAAATTCAAAAAATAGGGAATCACTTTACAATTCCATTTTAGTCAATAATCTCTATGACACCTTTTTAAACTTCCATGTTCCTGAATTTTTTAATTTTCACATACTCAAGTTATGTTCTAAGATTTCCAAATGATCAATCTTTCAAATGCTACAATTAAATGTTACAATCTTTTAATAATACAAAAGATTAAATGTTACAGTGTTTGAATAATAAAAAGATTAAATGTTACAGTGTTTGAATAATAAAAAGTTTAAATGTTACAGTTTTTAAATAATGAAAAGTTTAAGTGCTACAGTTTTTGAATAATAAGAAGTTTAAATGTCACAACTTTTGAATAATAAAAAGTTTACATGTCACAATTTTTAAATAATAAAAAGTTTAAATGCTACAATTTTTAAATAATAAAAAGTTTAAATGCTACAATTTTTAAATAATAAAAAGTTCAAATATTACAATTTTTAAATAACAAAAAGTTTAAATGCTACAATTTTTAAATAATAAAAAGTTTAAATGCAACAATATTTGAATAATAAAAATTAAGTGTTAAAGTTATCAGATATTAATATTTTAAACCGTAAAAGTTTACAAATGCTGAAAGTGACATTAGTAAAAAAAAGTCTGTTCGAAAAACATCTTAGCGTTAAAACTCGTGCGATTACTTACGAATAACACCATGTTGTAGATGTGAAGCACGTATTTCAGGAAATTCACCGAACAGCATCCGTCGTCTCTGGTCCTCGACCTGCCGGAAGTACCCGGAAGCCTCTCAGCGCTTTTAGCCATGATTGCTTGATTCGTTTCTTCTTGCGTGCCCGTTGTGCTCGTTGTCGTGGTCGTCACCTCGTCACCGACTCTGCAAGCACGCGAAATTTCAAGCGTTTTAGAGATTTCTCGAACACGAACGACAAGAGGAAAAAAGGGAAAGAAACGAGACGATTCGATTTCGTCGAAATCCCATTTCGTACTATTTTTCGGCACTGAAACACTTCCGGTACGGTGCTTCGAAACGCGAGTAAATCTATCTTCGAGCACCGGTTTCTGGTCATCGGCCAATGGACATCACGCATCGTTGCATTTCCGCAGACTGATACAATCGTTCGCATATTTGATTCGAATGCCGTTCTTGCGGAAAATGCGGGTGGAATAGTTGAAAATCCAGGGGAACGATTGCAAATGCTTCAAATGCGAATGTAATCTAATATCAAACGGTTATTAAATGAGTACAGGAATTTGAAACGTAATATGAACTAAAGGTGGATGGAATGTGAATTTGATTTGAATTCGATATTGGATAAATACTGAATCAGTGGACTCGGTGTGTGGATCGACGATGGACGAGAAATGGATCAAAAGTGAACGGGTAATGGATCATATGTGGATGGGTAGCTGACCAACAATGGATGGGTACTGGATCAAAAGTGGATGGGCAGTGGATGAAGCGCGTCCCCGTCCAAAAGATTTTCTCCCATTTACACTGAGAGACCTTTTCCAACAAAAAAATAGGAGAAAGAAATTTTTACACGGTGGATCAAAAGTGGACGAAGAATGGATTAAAAACTTGTCTCAATTCATAAAAATTAAAAGGTCCCAGAAGTCAAAAGAGCAACTCCTTATTCTCAAAACGTGTGTACCGTTCCTGTATCATCCTGTACGCATAAAGTCGGTCCTGAACAGCGTCGCAACTAAAAAAAAGGTCAAGAGACTTAAAGTTTGAAGCTAACGACGAAAATGGTAGTGCCGCTTAAAATCGAGGAACAATTCGTTTGTTCGCGATAACGAGCGCGAATTAATTAGGAACCATGCCAGGCGGTCGGTTATTTACTCGCACTAATTGTGTTTCCGCAATTAGAGCGTATTCGATCGAGAAACAATCGGGTAGCTCGACGAAGACGTAGGTATTATTCGTCGCGGGTCGTATTTGGTCCGGATCGGAAGAAGGATGGACACCAGGATAATGAGAACGAATGGACGACGAGAAACCTGAGCGGAGACGATGAAATAAAAGAAACCGCGAAATTAAATGGGTGTGACCCGTCTGCTACGTGTGGGCGAAGTAGTTTGGGCGCCCGAGCATAAAGGGAACTCCGGATCTACTGGACGCGTGCAATTTTTTTGTTTTCATTTTGTTCCCGAACTGCAAGCGGCCGAAACGTTTAATATGTACACGCTCAGCTGGATAACTTTTCGCCGGTTATTGGCTATTTTTTCTTTTTCAACATTTTCAGCGCGCCGGGCGAATACCTTTCAACGAATGGCGCGCAAATAGCGAAGGTGCATTTATCGATTTCGGGCCTCTGTTGTTTGACAAATTTCGAGTTTACGTACGCATTTCATTTTCATCGGGAAAAATTTCTATTTTATCGTAGAACAAATGTTTGATGGTCCATTTTAACCTAATTGCGAAATTTATTCACCTGTAAATAAATCTTGAAATATATCTCGATGTTTTTTTTATGATAAAAATTTCACGTTAATTTACGTTATTTGCAATTCTGCGAACGCCGTTAATTTTACGAACACTGTTTCTTGTTCAGAGTACCAGGAAATTTCCTGATGGCACTTTCACCGCCATTAAATCAGGGACCATCCAACAAGAAACGAAAGAGGCTGGTAGCAAAGTTTACCCGCAAGTTCCGTTCATTACAGTGACGGTGGACAGAGGCGGTACGCAGATACGGATCGTGGAACGTGGTAAACAAGGCAGTTTTCCGGACGAAAAACTGTAATAGATCAACGACAGAAAAGATGGCCACGAGGGGAAATCTTGAGCGGAGAAAACAGACTGCTTCCGTTTCAACGGGCTTCCGGTTCAAACAGGAACATCGTCTATTCTGTTCTAACAAACTACCTTCTGCAAAATATTTGAATATGTACAGTCAAAAATAAATTTAGCTTCCTCTGGAAAAATAAGAAAACTCAGGAAGAAGGATAGTTGGTGAATTTTAGAGATTTTGAGGAATTCCGTGGGAGCAGGAATTTAATTTAATTTAGGGATAGGTTGAGGATTTGGGGATTTTGTGATATGAGTTTGGGATTTGAAAATTTGGGTTTTGGAATTTGGGGATTTGGTAGGGTAGGAATTTGAGGAGCTAGAGGATTTGGTAGGGTAGGAATTTGAGGAGTTAGAGATTTGGGGGTGTAGGTATTTAGGGATGTAGGTATTTGGGGATGTAGGTATTTGGGGATGTAGATATTTGGGGATGTAGGTATTTGGGGATGTAGATATTTAAGGGCGTAGGTATTTAAGGACGTGGGAATTGCTACGCACGAGACTACCACGCATAGAACTACTACGCGTAGACTTACTACGCATGGAACTACAAAGCGTGGAATTATTACGCATGGAATTACCACGCGTGGAATTACAACGCATGGAATTATTACGCGTGCAATTACTACGCATGAAATTACTACGCATGGATTTACTACGCATGGAATTACTACGCGTCGAATTACTACGCGTGAGATTGCCACGCATGGAATTACTACGCGTGAGATTGCCACGCATGGAATTACTACGCGTGAGATTGCCACGCATGGAATTACTACGCGTGAGATTGCCACGCATGGAATTACTACGCGTGAGATTGCCACGCATGGAATTACTACGCGTGAGATTGCCACGCATGGAATTACTACGCGTGAGATTGCTGGAATTACTACGCGTGAGATT